GTGTAGCTTAGATGGTTATAATGTCCTACATCCAGTTCACATGGGTGTAGCTTAGATGGTTATAATGTCCTACATCCAGTTCACAAGGGGTGTAGCTTAGATGGTTATAATGTCCTACATCTAGTTCACATGGGGTGTAGCTCTGATGGTTATAATGTCTTACATCCAGTTCACATGGGGTGTAGCTTAGATGGTTATAATGTCCTACATCCAGTTCAAGGGGTGTAGCTTAGATGGTTATAATGTCTTACATCCAGTTCACATGGGGTGTAGCTCTGATGGTTATAATGTCCTACATCCAGTTCACATGGGGTGTAGCTCTGATGGTTATAATGTCCTACATCCAGTTCACATGGGGTGTAGCTTAGATGGTTATAATGTCTTACATCCAGTTCAAGGGGTGTAGCTTAGATGGTAATAATGTCTTACATCCAGTTCAAGGGGTGTAGCTTAGATGGTAATAATGTCTTACATCCAGTTCAAGGGGGTGTAGCTCTGATGGTTATAATGTCCTACATCCAGTTCACATGGGGTGTAGCTTAGATGGTAATAATGTCTTACATCCAGTTCAAGGGGTGTAGCTTAGATGATTATAATGTCTTACATCCAGTTCAAAAGGTGTAGCTTAGATGGTTATAATGTCTTATATCCAGTTCAAAGGGGGTGTAGCTCAGTCATAACTTTGTATATTGAGTTTGAAATTCATAAAGTTATGACCATTATGACATGTAAAACACACTGACAGGCCTTGCCAATTCCAATTTGCCATTTCATCAAAAAAGTTATATTAGGTTAATATGGCAAAAAGTAAACCCTACAACCCCTCCATAAATTTATCATATCTATCCACAGTTAGTGGTATATTTTTGACAAAAGTAGAACAAATAACTTCATTGTTTGTCAATAGCTCGATTTCTATATTCTGGGGACCCCATCAATAGCTTATAGTGTGTCTAGTTGAAAACATGTATAAAGCAATTGAGGATTTCCATTTACCCAATGACTAAGTATTCCGATTGCCAAAATCAGTCTCTTAGCGACATTCTGTGAACATCACCAAGCACTGAATAAAACCCAAAATGAATGTGGACTTTCCTAATGCCTCGTACACTTATAAAGATCTGGCAAAATAAACAAATTAAAACTTAAAATCTGGGGGTCTTAAAAATTGTCAAGTAGTTAAGAAAAATTCATAATTAGAAATTGACTGTATTAATTGTTAAGCACGAAGCTTTGATTGGTTGGTTGTTTTGAATTTCGCGCAAAGCTACACGAGGGCTATCTGCGCTAGACATCCCTAATTTAGCAGTGAAAGACTAGAAGGAAGGCAGCTAGTCATCACCACCCACCACCAGCTCTTGGCTACTCTTTTACCAATGAATAGTGGGATTGACCGTACATTATAAGCCCCCAGGCTGAAAGGGTCGAGCATGTTTGGTGTGATGGGATTCAAACCTGCAACCCTCAGATTGCGAATCGAGGGCCTTAACCACCTGGTCATGCCGGGCCGCACAAAGCTTTACAATAAGCCATTTGTGGTCTGGCTAACGTGAGATTTAAATCTGGTTTTTTGTTAGAAGTCCTCAGACTCACCACTCAGTTTACAGAACTAAAGACATCTTGCTCTCACTCAAAGCTGGTGACTCAAAAGACACTCTGCAGCTTCTTCGTGGGTAGTTCTAGCAATCAGAAATTAATGTTGATTCTTCTGGTAATGATTACATATTTCAGCCTAAATTGAAGTGTGTAAAATTGGAGCCTAGGACAATTATTAAAGCAAACTGGTCCTCTAAATATAAAATAGTTCAGGCATGAGAAACAAGTTTCTTTTGTGACTGGTGTTAGGAAGAGGGGAAAATAATGTAATCTACTTTGGGGAAAAGGACATATTTAGACATATATATTGTGACTAAAATTTTGACTTTAAAAATTAAATGAGAGTGGGCTGGTCCTTAATTTCACACACACACTTTACAAACTGGTGAACTATAAATTATGTCTACAAGGGATCAAAAATAACTGGTCAGTGTTAGTTTAATCAGTTTAGTACTGGGCCATCATCATGGCAAGCTAAATTAAATTCCCCTTAGAAGTAAACTATAACCCACAAATAGTTTTAAATAAACATGTACTTATTCATTTATTTAAAATTAACACATGTAATGTGTGCACTGCAGTGGTACATGACACTAAATTTGATAAAGCAATAACTTTGAAGGAGATAAAGAAACCTTAGTTTTATGAACAGGAACTGGGAAGCCTAAGAAATCTTTTCAACAAATGTGATAACTCCTACTCTTCAACACAAGAAATGCTACCCTTCAAAGAGTTTTCAAAAACCACAGGCCTCAATTCTAACAGCCTCGGCTCCGAGTAACTGAAATACTTTGTGTTACTAGGTTATGGAAAAAACTTAGTAAAAACTCAGTAGTAGACTCTAGTACACTAGCCACCACAATTCTCTTAGCTAATTTCTTAATCTCTATCGTTCTACTCAGCCCTTTAATTTAAGATCTCACAGTACCAATTTTTTGCTCTCTCCACAATCTGATTTTCAAGAACTTTTATCATACAGATGTTCCGGATAAATCATCCACTTAAAACTTCCCACTCAGTTCCTATAGATTACCCTTTATTCTCAGGTAAGCCAGGAAGGATCGGTTATGATAGATAATTTTTCTTTTCCTTACTGTTTAAACTTTTTACGGTCAAGCTTAACGGTTCCACATGCAACCTGCTACTGTACGTAAACTTCTAATAAGGTTCATCACATTTTATCAAATGTTTCATGTCTCATGCTGCCTATGAAACTCTTCCTGCCAACATCAAAAT